TGTCCTGTGTTGGATCTCTTAAACAGGTTGAGCATGAGATTCATCTGATTGGACTTAGGGGCCACCTTACCATCAACCTGAGCTGTGCTGGCAGAGTGTGGGATCTAATATACCTGGAAAGTAGACAATGAGCTAGTGGTTAATCAGAAGGTGAGCATGTTGGCAAAATGCATTCTAACTACCCAGAACAAGCTACGGATGCTACTAGTTTCTGAGACTTTTGAGGATTCTATCATATAAACAGTTGTTTCTTAACTTTTCCTACTGACAAGTGATGGTTAGGTTATCTCCGGGCTGTTAATTAATTTGCTTTTCAAATTCCTAAATGTTGTTGTTATTATCTCCTCTCCTGTTCTTCCAATGCTGGGAGACAATTCTTCATGAGTCTCTCACATATCTGCACATCTTGTAAGCAGGGTAATGACTGCCCTTTGTACTGGACTATTTTTTCAAGGATATTTGTGTAGCCTATCACTTTGAAAGAAGGAGATAGTTCTCCCTCTGGAACAAAGGGCAGGTATAATTATTACCTATTATAAAAGATTCAGGCTCCTTAAGCTCAGTGCTCCTCTCCAGCAATGTAACCCACTGCATATACAGGTGCCATCTGGACCTGTTTGCATTGCCCTGCAGGATTAGAGTTCAGGGAGCTGGTGCAAGAAGTACTGATACTCTGGCTATTGCTATTTCTGTGAGTAATAAACTATTCTTTGTCTCTGACCCAGGAGTCTCATGTCTTCTACCAACATCTATTAATCTGTGGTAAGCTAACTTTTTAGCTTCTAAGGAGGGAAAAATTTCAGACTTTTCAAAGTTCTTGACTCCCTGTACTTTGGAAATACTTCTTTAAAAATTTTTTTACTCCAATTTTTGTGGGATTTCAGAAGACAGAAAGTTAGATGAATGAATTCAATCCATCATATTAACTTAGATCACATTTTTAATGAGTTATCCTATGCCACACATCCACTCGTCAAGGCTTATCAATCCTATCTTCTACTTTTTCCTCAAATATCTTGAATCCCACTGCTACTGTCCTTTCACAGTGGGTCCTAGATGCAGATGTCCTGCCACTTATTTGCTATGTGACTTGGGGGAAGTTACTTAAACTCTTGAATTTGCAGTTTTCTTGATTGTAAAATAGAAATAATAACAGTTGCTATCTTATAGGGTTTTTGTGAGGATTAAATGAGGTGTAGGTGTCAATATGTAGTTTCTGTTGGTGCTGTGGTTGTTGTTAATATGCTCTTTCTTGTCTTCTCCCTTATCTAGAGACTGCCTAACTCGTCTCATATTCCCCGTCTCCTACTGCTCCGATTTTTCATCTACCCTCTTGCCAGAATTAGCTAACACACAGATGTGATTCACCCCCTATTTAAAAATCTCTGACAGCAGCCCATTACCTTTGGGATAAAGTCTACAAGTCAAAATTCCTTTGTAATCTGTTCTTATGGCAAAGTCTCATATTCTTTTATTTCCTCTTGTGGCTGTTCTGCTAATGTGCTCTTCTCCCTAAACACACATACACATAAATGTGTTTTAAACTCCAACCACATAAGTGCACTCATTTTTACTGATATCTGATCTGCTTTTCATGTATCCAGGCCTATGAAAATTCTATTTTCTCCACCTGGAATGCTTTTGCCAAGTTTTCTACTCATGTTTAAGGCCCAAGTGTACAATTACTTTTTGTGGTAGCACATTATAATAACAGCCTCCAGTGAATCATGCTTCTCTACGTCAATGTGGCATTGCAACTTCTCTCACCAAGGGGTAGAGTTGATTTCAATCTAGGCTGCCTTTGTGATTTGCTCTGAACAACAGATTGTGGTGGGCTTGACATTGTATGAGTTCTGGAGCCTAGGCCTTAAGAGACTTTGCAGTTTCCACTCTTTCTCTATTGAAACCCTGAGACCAACTGTGAAGAAGCCCACTCTAATCTATAGGAGGAAAAGAGGCCCCGTGGAGGAGAACTGAGGCCCAGCTAACAGTGAGCACCACCACCAAACACATGAGTGAGGCCATGTTAGACCCTCTAGCCCCAACTGAGAGGGCAGTAGGTTCAGTGGTAATAATTCTTGCTTTCCATGTGGGAGACCTGGGTTAGATTCCCAACCAATGTACCTCAAGCACAGCTACCACCTATCTGTATGTTGCTATGATGCTGAACAGGTTTCAGTGAAGAAGAAAGGCTTGGTGATCTACTTCTGAAAATCTGTCAGTAAAAATCCTATGGATCACAACAGTCTGACTCTATGGTGCACAGGGTCTTCATGAGTTGGGGGCTGACTTGATGGCAGCTAACAACAACAGCAGCCTCAGCTGAACTACCAGATGACTCTGACCTCATGCATGATCCCAGATGAGGCTATCAGAAGAACTGCCTAGACTGCCAATTCATGGACTCATGATCATGAGAAAGAAGAAATTATTTAAGCCATTAAGATTTGTGGTCATTTGTTACGCAGCAATAGATAACCAATACACCTCCTCAGAGAAATGTTTTAGACATACTGAAGCAAAGTTCATCACTGTATCCTCTAAGCTCAAAAAGCACTTCTATTATATACGTAGATGATATAATTATTTGTCTGCCTGTGTCTGTTTTTCTCCCTAGATTAATAGTTTTTAAAGGGCAGAGATTAGGTTTTTGTTCATCTTTATATCTCCTGTGACTACTCTAGGGTCTGGCACATAAAAACTGTGGACATTTATTATTCAGAGTACACACTCACCATTCCTGAAAACTTTTCACTCACCATCTGGAACTCATGGTCAATCATTAGTAAAATCTTTTATATCTTTTACATCCTCCACTTCTAGTTAATACTCCCTTCATCTTCTTGTTCTTCCCGGATGGCCCTGCTTCCCTGCAGTCCTCATAGGTGGTGGCTCTCTTCTCTCCCATGCCTTACACACCACTGTGATTAAAAGTTGGTATGTGACCTCTTTACTTCTTATGGCTTCTTCTAGACTATCTTCATTTTCTCCCTCTTCTCTAAAAACAGTCAGCTTTGACTCCCATGACATCAGACTAAACCATCTATAACTCCTTGTTATGAAAGACATCTACTGATCCCTGGGCCTCTGCCTCTCATTCCATGAAGAGCAACCACTCTCTATAATATTCCCCTAGTAGTGACCTCAATTTCTATATTGCTCAACCTTCCAAAATCATGGTCTCTCAGCTCCTTGATATCCTCTCCTCCCATGATCTTGCCCTCCATCCAATCTCAGCTACTTTTTCCCATGGTCATACGCTAGACCTTGTCACCACCAATAACTGCAAACCCTCCATAATCTCAATTTAATATATTCCACAACCACCACCTCCTATATTTCCAGTGGTCTCATTTTAGCCTCCAACTCCAAAAATCCTTTGCCACTGAAGCCACAATTTATTGTTAGCACTACTCTCCACTGTCCCTCACCCGTCTTATGTTCTCACTTCCTTCCTTAAAACCACTGCTGTCGCCAACTCATAGTGGCCCTGTAGAACAGAGTAGAACTGTTCCACAGGGTTTCCAAGGCTGTAATCTTTACAGAGGTAGACTGCCACATCTTTCTGCAGAGAAGCGGCTGGTAGGTTCGACCTGCTGACCTTTCGGTTAGCAGCAGAGCGCTTAACCACTGTGCCACCACTTCCTTCCTTATTCAGTTAAAATTTAATGGTTCATCATTTTAGTTGCTCTTTTGCCTGTCAGATTCCTCGTATTTGTATACTTACTACAGCCTTAAATAAGTCCAACTTTCCACCTGATCCATGCCCAAACCCATAGAAACTAAATGCAGTTGGAGAAAGAATTTTCATTTATAAATTTAAAAATAATCTCTATTTAGCAATCAAAATTATATTTCCCTAGTTCAGTCAATCTCTTTACTCTCCTGTATGACTATTTCCATAGTTTCTGATCTCTCCTCAAACCTTCAACATCTCCACCCTCTTTGCTTCTCATTTTACTAAGAAAGTAGAAACAACTAGAAGAGAACTTCTCTAAGCTCCTATTACACCTGCTCACTTACTTGTACCTCTACTTCTGCTCTGCCCACCCCCTTTCTAAGAATGATTTGTACATGTTTTTAGCGAAAGCTATCCACCTAGTTGTGCACTAGAATCCATCTCCTGTCACGTACTCCTGGATATCACTCCTTGAATTTTCCCTCTTTCTCCTGCATCATTTGTCACTCATCATCCTGCAAACATACTGTCACTTTCATATCATTTTAAAAAATACATATTTTGACCCCCTTTTGCTTCCAGATACTACTGCATTTATTCCTTTTACAAGAAAACGCCTTCAAAGATTAATTATACTTGCTACCTCAACTATCTCTCCTTCCATTCACACTTGAACCGACTCCAATAAGGCTGTTTGCTTCCCAGTATTTCATGGAAAGTACACTTAGGGTCAACAATGAATTCAATGTTGCTAAATTCACTGGTCAGTTCTCTAGTCCTTAACTTACTTGTTTACCAGCAGCATTTGACATAGTAGATAACTCCATTCTTCCTAGATAAAATTTTCTAGAAAATTTGGCTTCTAAGAAACATATCCTCCTGATTTTCTTCCTCTTCTCCATCTATTCCTTCTCAATTTTTTTTTTTTTTTTTGCCGATTTCTCCTTCTCTCCCTGACTCTTATATATTGGAGTATCCCAGGGTTTAGAACTTGGACAACGTTTTCTGTCTACACTCACTTCCTTGGTTAGCTCATCAGTCCCATGGCTTTAAATACCATCTACATGCTGATGATTCTGCCCCTAGCTCAGACTTAATTGAAACACAAAAGGGCTGCATGGTAAGGCCATCCTTAATGATTGGCAAAGAGTAACTTCTTCCATAACAGGATCAGGACTCAACTTTATTTAAGAAGCACACTGAATGTATCATCTTTAATATTCACAAATTATTAGACACTTCCCAGACCACAATCTAGACTGTGCAACTTTTCTGTAGCCATTTTCTGTTACCATCAAAACCCTGTAAAGAGAATATTTACCTGTGACAACACTGGGGATTTTGGAGAGAAAGCTCTTAACTGTTCTGATGGGCACACCCCCTGTCTTGTCATCTTGCATCTTTGTAATGATGTCTTCAATCTAAAAGAGATTAAGAATAAAAAGCATTATGTTCTCCCATAAAGTAGTAGCAAATGATACCTTTATAAATAGCCAAAATGTGTGAACATAAATGCCAGCAATAGATATCAGGGCATATCTCCACCTAGTCAGTCAGTAAACGTAGTATCAATGTCTGTAATGAATTGGGTGCTGGGAGTGGGGAGGTCGGAGGGTTATATAAAAGAGCATAATGCAAGTTCTACAAGAACAACTCTCCAGTTCAACAAGGTAAGGAGGGGGAAAGATATTAGGATTCTTGTTGGGCTCCAACATGTAATTCAATATGCATGTGATGAAATTCCTCTTTTTCCCATATTGGGTTTATATATAGGTTGAGCAATATAAAATTGCCATATTCAACCTGAAAAATAGCAACTTTATGTAGTTTAATCTATTAAGATACCACATCAGGAAGTGTAGGCAGGACTGCCACTGGGACCAGAGAAGGACCAAGCCAGAGTCAGGTGGGAGAAAAAAAAAAAGACTATGAATCAGGACACAAAAACCCTGATCTGGAGAAACTGGAAAATGGGTCTCAGTGGCTCTAAGGGATGGCATGAGGTTGGTCATCAAGAGCCAGGACTAAAGTGGAGCAAGCACAGCATACTATCCTTTTAAGATGAAGCTATGAGGAGAAAGATGATGGTGGGCTGGGGTCTGGAGGCAGGGCTTGGTGAAATACGATCTACGTGCTTATACTGAAAACAGAACAGAGACAGAAGAGATGGACTAAGGAAGATTAAGTGCCTAGATTGGGAAACCAATTTGTGGCTAAGTATCTGTGAGTCAGATACAATTTCTCGGGCAGAAATTTCAAGAAGAGGATACAGAAATCTCTAACAAGGACATAGACCCTTGGGGGACTGGGGTTGGAGAAGGAAATGTTTTGTATTATCATACTTTCTGTTCCCCAAAGCAATAGAAATAGCTTTGAAGCACCTGGATAGATTCTCTGAGTGCTTCCTTGATAGAATCAGATAATTTTAAAGCTGGAAATTTAAAGCTGTAGGTCAACTATTCTAACATACTAGCATTGCAATCCGAGGCTAAGTGACTTTCTCAAAGACACATGACTAACAATTTGATTAACAGAAATAGTTAACTTGTTAAAGACAAAACTAAGATACGGCATATCATCACCATAATCAACATCAATAATAATAATACCCAAGAGCCAAAATATATTAAAAATTTATTATGTGTTAGACACTATTCTGAAGAAGCTGTGGCGGCGCAGTGGTTAAGCACTTAGCTGCTAACTGAAAAGTTGGCCATTCAAACCCACCAGTCACTCCGCAGGAGAAAGATGTGGCAGTCTACTTCCATAAAGATTATACACTGGAAACCCTATGGGGCAGTTCTACTCTGTCCTATAGGGTTGCTGTGAGTCAGACTTGATGGTAACGGCTTTAGACACTATTCTAAGTGTTATAAACTTATTATCCTATTTAATCCACATAACTACTTCATAAGATTAAAAAAAAAAAAAACCAAACCCGTTGCCGTAAAGTCGATTCAAGCTCATAGTGACCCTATGAGACAGAACAGAACCACCTCATAGGTTTTCAGGGAGTGGCTGGTGGAATCAAATGGTGGACCTTTTGGTTAGCAGCCAATCTCTTAACCACTGCACCACCAGGGCTTCCTGCATAAGATAGAGACCACTATTACTTGCATTTTTCAGATAAAGAAATTAAGTGTATCAGTCATGGTTAAGTTGTGGTAACAAATAACCCCCCAAATCTCAATGACTTACAAAGGTTTATTTCTCTCCTTTGTTACAGGTCTATTGCAGGTCAACAGGGGTCTCTGCTCAGTGTAGATACTCTGGGACCCAGGCTGATGGATCGATCAGTCACCAGGTTGAATGTTGCTGGTACCAGAAGGACAAGAGAATTCTGGAGAAATTTACACACTGAGTCTTAAATGTTATAGCCCAGAAGTTATACATAACATGTTTGCTCATAGCTCTTTGGCCAAACTTAGTCACATGATACCACTCAATCACAAAGGAGATAAGGAGTTCAGATTTCTGGGTGTCAGGATGAGAGGAACTGAACATTTGTGAGCAGCATCAATGACTACCACAGGAGGTTAAGCAACCCTCACAAGGTCACACAGCTACTCAGATGTGGACCTAAGGTTGAACCCAGGCAGCAGACTCTAGAGCTCATGTTTCTAACCCCTGAGCCTTTCTGCCTCCCAATAAAATTCTCAGAAAACCAGCCAAGCAGAAAAACCATTCTCCCTTGGGTATTTCTGCGTTTCTGTGAGAAGTGCTAATGGTAAGAAAGAATCTTAAAGCTCCCAGCCCCTTAGGCAGTGGATGAGTGGATCATGCCAGGGAAAGAGGTCATTCTCCGAAGACTTACATTCTGTTAATGACAGTATAAGAATGACTTTAATGTTAACAGTCTCAGCTACTACCCTGCCTTGGGTCTCATAAACTCAATCCGACAATTTACAGTATTTGAACATTCCTTATCAATAGTCAAGGGGAGTTATTCCTAGGAGAATGATCACATTTACAGAGTAATCTATACTTTTGATCTAGTGTGTTATCTGAAACCAGAAGCATCAGTTACACTGATGTTTTCTATGTGATGGCCAGAAAATCACTGAGTATTGGAGGGAAGTCAATAATTAAATTCAATAAACCAATTAGACCCCTGATTGGGCATAATGGTAATAATTTCCAGTCTCTACTGATGTGGGCTAGATTTGAAGGACTGGCTATGCAGAGGAAATCTTCATGACTCCTTTCTCCTCTGGTCTGTTTAGTTGCTTCTCCATCCTACTGAATCCTAAAAAGGCTTATTTGCTAAGGAGGAAGACCTATCTTCTACTGGCCCACAATGTACCAAGAGGCAAATCACTCATCAGGGGTTAGAGCTAAATCACAAAGGGCAATCCTCCTAACTGAAAAGGGATTGCACACCAGCAATAGTTTACAACATCACAGGTGTGGTAGAATGAATTATTGGTCCCAATTCTTTTGACTCCTCATTGTATTAATATACATCCAGACCCTAGCCATGGTCTCATGGTGGGCAGAGAGTCTGCCCCTTGACTTTTAGGTGTGACCATGTGACTTGCCTGACTAATGGGATGTTACTGAATATGATGTGAGCAGAGGCTTGCAATGTATCTGCATGGTTTTGCTTACTCTCTTGACCTTCTGCTTTTTGTCATAAGAAGAGCATGCCTTGGATAATTACTTTTCTAAAGAGCATGAGGGACATCTAGAGCTGACGGGACCCAACATATAGTTTAACTGAGGCCAGCCTAGATCAGCCAAACCTCAGCTGACCTACAGACTCATGAGAGAGAGAAACAAATGCTTATTGTTGTATGACACTGAGTTTGGGGTGGTTTGTTATGCAGCACTATTGTAGCTATAGCTGACTGATACAACAAGGCTCTGGAAAAAAATGCATTTATCAAAAATTGTTAAAACTATAACAAATAAGTGACAATAAGAATCAATGACTCTTAGAGTTAGGATATGTTAAAATCCAATCCTTTTTAAGAATGCAGAAAGTCCATGTATGCCATCCACCATGTACTTAAAAACTCTAAGAGACTATACTATTCCAGAGACTAGACTATTCCCATTACATTGTTGTATCTGACAAATTTGTAACAGCTGAGTGTGATTCTGGAGCCCTAGTGGTGCAGTGGTTAAGCGTTCAGCTGCTAACCAAAAGGTTGGCAATTCGGATCTACCAGCTGCTCCTTGGAAACTCTATGGGGCGATTCTACTCTGTCCTATAGGGTCACTATGAGTCGGAACCGATTCAACAGCAAGAGTTTGGTTTGGGTTTGGAGCATGATTCTGGAGCACCGTCCACTGCAACAGCAGCTAATAAAACTCTCTCTGAAATTCCTTATCATGGCTTCTGGAGAACTGTCAAGAATATAGACCCAACAAAAATCAAAAGGGGGCTTCCAGGATCTTATACAAATAATGATAATGATTTCAGAAACATTATATGTTTGATACTGCTGTAGGTATTTTAATAAATTATCTAATTTTATTCCTCAGTCTGAAAGGTTATATAATAAAGATGCTGAAATTGCTCAGAAGGGTTAAGTGATGTATCCATGGTCACACAGCCCAGTAGGTGGCAAGGCTAAGATTCCTATCCAAGTTTTCCTGACTCCATAGTCCAAGCTCTGCTTATCAAATCTAAAGCTTATCTTCTATTTCTCAGACTCTTGGAAAAACTTGGCTACAACCCATCCTGGAGTTGTGTGACTATTAGGTCCAGCACTGGGGGCAGATCCTGGAAGGTAATTACAGAGGCATGACCCCAGTGAGTGGCCCAGAGCCTGGTTGATCCCTGGGACTCTTAGTTCTCCCAGTGTCATACACCAAGGTTAGCAGAGCCTGATATTGGCCCCTCACTCTGCACAACTGTTTGAATCTTGAGCTGCATGTGGCACCCAAAGAAATCTTTTAGTCTCCAGTGCTGCCTGGTGAACTCCAATCTTGGTTAACTTTTCCACCTCTGGTATTTTCCACTCATTTCTAACCTGCAATACAAAGAGTCTAATTTATCTTACTTTTGAAAATATAGACTTAATAGTTAAATTTTGGGACATTGGTGATTCAGTGGTAGAATTCTTGCCTTCCATGCTGGAGACTCAGGTTCGATTCCTGGCCAGTGCATCTCATGTGCAGCAACTACCTGTCTTTCAGTGGAGGCTTGTGTGTTGCTATGGATGCTGAACGGGTTTCAGCAAAGCTTCTAGACTAAGATAAACTAGGAAGAAAGGCTTGGTGATCTTCTTCTGAAAATTAGCCATTGAAAACCCTGTGGATCACAATGGTTTGATCCACAACGGATCTTGAGGATCCACAGGACCAGGTAGCATTTCATTCCATTGTATGTGGGATCTCCATGAGTCGGAGGCCAGCTAGACAGCAGCTAACAACAGCAGTTAATTAGGCATAAGAAACAGAGCCTCTCATCTTC